ATATGTGTGTGTGTGTGTGTATATATATATATAACTTTTTTTTTTTTTTCTTCCAACCTATCTAGGAATTTTTCCTCCCCTCCTCTCCCATCCCTGGTAACCAACAAAGAACATTTCCTTCCATGTATAAACCTGTCCTTGACTTTTTACAGTAGTGGACAAATATAGTATTTGTCCTTCTGTGATTGACTTATTTCACTCAGCATAATGTCCTCCAGTACTAGTGTAGGTTTTATATTTTATTTTATTATCAAAGAGGGGTGGATGTTAACAGAGAGAACTTTCTAGTTCTAATTTAGTATTTCAGGAGCACTTTTTGGAAATCGATGGTTTAGAAATAACAAATTTCTAGCGAAGAGAAATTTCATGATAAATTGGAAAGGAGAAACTGTTTTCAGAGTATTCATTCAGCCAACATTTAATGAGTATCTAATATTTGCAAAGAAGACGTGGTTACACAAAAAAAAATATTTAAGCATAATCTATGTCAGGTATTTTTACACATTATGTCTCATTGAATCTCTCCAAAGAACTTGTTATTAACTCTATTTTATGGATGATGAAACTCTTCCTAGAAGCTAAGTAAATTGCCGAAGGTCACATGGTTAGTAATTGGCCAAGCTAGGATTCTAAATCAGGTCCTCTCTCCAAGCCCACTTTCTACTAAACTGTATTTGGTGTCTGTCTTTACAAGACTATTAAATTCTACCAAGGCAGGGCTGTGTTTGTTTTGTTCACTATTCTATATCTCAAGCAAAGATAGGTGGGTAGAAAATGGTAGGTGCTGAATACATTTTTGATGACTAAAGAAATGATCAGCCTTTGAAGGAGAAGAACCAGACAGAACTTGAATTCTAGGCTCGGCTCTTTTATTTACTAAACCTCAGTTTCCTCATTGGTTAAATAAGATTGCTGTGATGGTTAAATAAGCTACCATCTGTAAATACATAATGCCTAAGACATACCCGCTGCCACTGAGTTGTTTTCGACTCATAGCAACCCTGAAGGTCAGGGATTGCCTAGCTGTAGGTAAATGCACAGAGGAACCAAAGGACCTATAGCAGAATTATTTATTAAACTGTATTGAGGCATATGGGGAAAGTAGATGGTAAAGCTGTTTGTACCTTTGTTATGACAGCACAGTCTGCCTTTTATTACTGTTACTTACACATGTGTCTGGGAGCTCTGGTGGCGTAGTGCCTCAGGCATTTGACTGCTAACCAGAAGGCTGGAAGTTCAAACCCACCAGCCATTCCTTGGAAGACTGAGCAATGTACTTCTGTGGCGATACCACCTCAGAAATCCAAGGAGGAGTCGCTATAAGTCGGATTCGACTCAACGGCAGTGAGTTCAGTTTTTTGAGTTATATATAGTGTGTCTCCTCTCCTAGATAGTGAGTTACTGGAGAGCAGGGGCCATGGTGGTCTCTTTTATCTTGGTAACTACTTCAAATTCATTTAAAAATAGACTAGACATCTTTTTTCTTTAAGACCCTTTATTTCGAAGTAGCTGAGTGACATGGTGCCTTGCACATAGTGGGTACTTAGTAAATGTTTGAATAAAATTGAATCCAAGTCTTTCATGACCAATTGTCCTTGAAGAAATTGGTGAGGTAGCTCATATCCTAGCACTTCTTCTCTTAGTGGGCTCAGGTGGAATGGGGCCCAAAACTGAATAACTGAGAAGCCAGGTTCATCCCTCTTGCATCCTCTGAGAGGCATCTTGGTGCTGTCCTTTAAGCATGGTAGGGAGTACAAGCATAGCAAGTGGGAGCTGGGATTTGGCCTAGCCTTGCCATAGCCAAAGAAATGCTGAGGGGAGATTGGTATTGGTAAGGAGGGAATAGCATTGGATTAGAAATAAGTTTTTAAAAAATCTTATATACGTGCTACTTTCTAGATTTGTAACTTTGGGCAAGTAACTTAATGTCTCTGACCCTTAAATTCCTCACTTGTGTCATGAAGATAAGTAGCTTCAAGGCCAATGTAACCTCTAATCTGAAGACAGTACATTTGTTTTACCCAAGCCCTGCATTCAGTTGAGATAATTACTGATTTTTTTTCTCTAAGCTGTTTGACTAATTATTTTTGGGACAGCAGACTGTGTGATCATCTATGGCAGGTGCCATCCTGTTAATTTTAACTCTGACTGCACCCTAGGAGACAAAGTGATAGAAGCACCTGGTGCTAGAAGTAGGCAAGAATGCCTTTTCCTAACTGAACACTTGAGTGCATTCATTCTGCTGGAGCACACTAACCTGCCCTTTTGGGAGAGACTAAATTAAGGTCTGTTAGGAGATTTCCTCCAAAGACCTCACATAATGTGACACTGGAGCTTCAGGATTGAAAAGTGAGATTGTTTTAATTTACAGCAGCAAGTGATTTGGACTTCAACTTCCAGATGCTACTTTTTAAGTATTTTAGATAATTATACCCTTTAATGGTGTTTTTATACAATAGGAGACATCTCAGCCCTCTTTCCTAGATCCCTGGAGGAAAAGCCAGTCAGAGTAACGTCATTTGGCCCCAAAAAGAAGGGATGTGATTTTATTGTAATTAAAAATGGAAAGTCTTTTCTTTTTTATCCACATGACCCTGTTTTACAGAGAACAAATTGCTTTATGAACTTGAGTAAGCACTTCATGTCTCTGGTCTTCGATTTCCTCATTTGTAAAATGACAGAATTGGACCAGCTGATCTTTAAAGTGTTTCCTCCAGCTCCCCCTTGCCTTAATTAGTACCAATCACTGTCTGACTGTGCTATATCTTTGGCACCGTCTGGTCCCTTACCCTGTAAAAAGATGCTAATAAATACAAAACAGGAGTTTAGAACTTTTTGGTTCTGATCCCATTCTTAATAATGAGTGGTCCAAGAGAACTAGGTCAAATGCCCTATCCCAATAGCCCTATTAAATAATAGAGAGAATGAAAATTTTTACCTAGTTCCTAACATTGAAGTGAGTAACAGCGTGGTTTGGTAAAATCAGAAGCACGGGACTAGGAGTCAGGAGACTTATGTTCTGTACCTAGATAGTAGCTAATTTAATTGTGACTTTTCTACCAGTAACTAGTCTTTTATGTTCAGTGTCTTAAAGTGTAAATTATTAAAAAGGTGCAATTTATTTTGAATGTGTGTGTTAGGTGCCAGATATGTGTGTTGGATACTAAGTACATCATCTCTTATCTGCTACAACAAAACAAGTGTAAATGGGAAATTAGGGCCTTAATACCAAGTTGTGTTCAAGATCCCACAGGTAGGAAATAGCAGAGCTGGCGTTAGAAGCTCCATCTTTTACTCCAAAGCTCATGCTATTTCTATAAGTACACTATTCTGCCCATCTTCAATATGAGGACCTACCATATATACTTCTAAGATTGTTGCCAGGAACAGATAAGATAAGAGATGTCATGTTGCTTTTGGTGACTAGAATTTTATAGTTAAAGGGAACCCATCAGCAGCTTTAGTGTAGTTAAAATGTCCTGGGTTCAAATCCCAGCTCTATTCCTTACTAGCTTTGAACCTTGGATGAGTTACTTAATATATCTATGCATCAGTTTTGTCTTCCGTTGAATGAGAATGACAGCACCAACTTTATATGGTGTTACGAGGATGATGTAAAGCGCTTTGAATAGTGTTTTACACACTATTAAGTATTCAGTATATATTAGTAAGTAGCACTGGAGCAAGGATTGTCCTATTCAGCCCCCTGTTTTATATATAGGGGCTGTGGTGGCGTAATGGGTAAGGCATTGGTTGCTAACCAGAAAGTCATCAGTTTAACCCTGCCATCTGCTTTGTGGGTAGAAGATGAGGCAGTGTACTTCTGTAAAGATTTACAACCTTGGAAACCCAGTGGGGGTTGCTATGAGTCAGAATTGACTTGATAGCAATGGGTTTTAGGTTTTTAGATATAACGAAACTGAAACCTAGAGAGGGGATGTGATCACCCAAGATGAAACAACTAATTAAAGGCACTAAAAAAAGTAAAATTTGTATGTGTAAGATTGTTTTTAATATTTTACAAATAATAATTTAGTGGTAAATGCTGTACATAGTGATAACTTTAATTCCAGTCCACAGGTGTGGGAATGGACTAGAGGATGGAGGGGAAGGTGAGAGATAGAGCCTGGCATAGTGATATCTAGCAGGGCTCCTGGGTATTTCATTGCTAACATTTAAGAAAGAAAAAAAAAAAAAAACCTCACTGCCATTGAGTTGATCCTGACTCATAGCATCCCCCTTTGGGTTTCTGAGGCAGTAGATCTATATGGAAGTGGATTGCCTAGTCTTCCTTCTGCGGAGTGGCTAATGCATTTGAACTGCCAACCTTATGGTTAGCAGTCAAAGGCCTCAGGCGCTATGCCATGTAGACTCATCAAGCCTCTAACTTCTCCATTTTAGATTACCTCTGCAAAAAGGTTGAGATAAATCTTTTTCTCTCTGCATCTTTTCAGGTTATGTCAGATGTCTGTATTGACATTTTCTCTAGTTATCTTGATAGAACCAAGGCTCAGGTTTGGAGTAAAATAGAACAGGTTATTTGGTCCAGTGTGATTTGAAATTTAGGAAAAAGGGATGTCCTACATGATTCATCCCAACTTATTAAAATTCTCTGTACTGGGATGTGAGGCCCTAGCTAATGTAAAGTATAACTTTATTATTTAATTTTCTTCTGTTTGCTTCCTTTGTTCATTTACTTTCTTTGGGGGTTTTGATAGGAGTGAGACTTGGGTATTTTTAGGTACTGTCATACCATCTGACATGCTGTATTCTCCCCAGTGTTTTTAATGTGTACACATGTATCTGTCCATCTAAAATTTCAAAAAGAACAGAAAGAATGTTTGATAGAATATCACTTTTAGGCAGTTTTGTGGCAGACAAACAGTATCAAGTAAAAATTTGAGGAGACTAGGTTAAATGCCATAGAAGAGAGGTTCTCATTTGTGTGACATTGGTTTTTTTCTTTATAGGTTGCTATGGTGACAGACTATGGAGCCTTTATCAAAATTCCAGGCTGTCGGAAACAAGGTGGGAGCCTATAACTTGAAATTTAAACCTCCCATTCTACTCTCCCTGTGTACATTCTTTGCTGTCACCCCGCTGCATCCTAATTACAGGCTCTACAGTCTCTGAAAGTAGTTCTTTTATTTATAGAGATATGAATACAGACAAGTGATGACAGTTTACTTTGAGCGGGCCTTAGCTCAGGAGATGGTCCTAAGTAAGAGGAAGGGCTCACTACTTGGGTTCACTTCTGGAACATGCTCTTCTCTATACTTCATCTGTGACCCTGGACAAGTCATTTGATGTCTTTGGACTTAGGATTTTGGGAAGGGGGCAAGGTACTTACTCTCTAAGGCTGACATTGTGAATTACTAGTTTATGACACAGGAAATGGAGGTAGTATTGTAACCAATACAAATAAACATTTTATGTATATAATGCTTTAAATTATTTTTGTGAGTTGATAGGCATCTGTTGAGCACTTTTAAAGAATCCTTTTCATATCTATGTTTGTATTTGTTCATTAAAAAAAAATCTGTTAAGTAGAAAAGTCAGGCTCCACGGGCTAGTGACCTGCCCAAAGTGGCATAGCTAGATAATGGCATAGCTAGAACTAGAATCCAAGCCCCCTCCCTGCACTAAAATACTTTAAAGTAAGAACTGTAAGAGTATTAGAAGAAAATGCAGAAAAATATTTGACTACATAAAAATTCTCATTAAAAAAGTTGGGAAAAAGAATTTGCAGTACATACAACAAAGAGTTAATTTTAAAAAGGAATAGGTAAGACATTTCACAGAAGAAAAAATATCAGTTGGTCAATAAATATATTAAAATATGTTTATTCTTAGTATTGATTAAAAAGTAACTTAAACTATGGTAAATCATACCATGGAATACTATTCAGCAATAAAAAGGAGTGAATGAAATATTGATGCATGCAAGAATCTGGATGAGTCTTCCGAGTATTTGGCTGAGTAAAAAAGCCAAAAACATTGCATACTTTATGATTCCATTTATATAACTTTTGTTTTTAAGAAAAACATTTATATTGAGACATAAATCATATAGCATACATCTTACCCATTTAAAGTATACATTTAATTTAATAGTTTTAGTATATTCACAGTTCTGTAACTATCATCACAATCTAATTTGAGAACATTTTCATTATCCCAGAAAGAAACCCTGTACCCATTAGTAGTCATTACTGATTCCCTCCTTCTCACAGCCTTAGGCAGCCACCAATCTACTTTCTATTTGGCTCTTCTGGACTTTTCTTATAAATGGTATATAATGTGTAGTCTTTTGTGACTGGCTTCATTCGTTTAGCATAATGTTTTTAAGATTCGTTGTATTTTAGCACGTGTCAGCTCTTCATTCCTTTTTTGTCATTCCAAAATAAGGTATAGATATATCACATTTCGTTTATCCATTCATCAGTTAATGGACTTTTTTTTTGCTATTATGAATAAATAATGTCACTAAACATTTTTCTATGTGACCATGGTTTCATCTCTTTTGGTTATATACCTTGAATCACTGGGTCATATGGTAACTCTTGTGTTTAACATTTTGAGGAACTGTCAGACGAATTTCCAATGTGGTTGAACTATTTAAATTCTTACCAGCACTGTATAAGGATTCCAGTTTCTTGGCATCCTTGCTAAAAACCAGAAACCAAACTCACTGCCATCAAGTCGAATCCGACTCACACCCTCTTTGGGTTCCCGAGGCAATATCTCTACGGAAGTAGCTCATGGATTTGAACCGCCAGCTTTCTGGTTAGCAATCAAATGCCTTAGGCACTATGCCACCAGAGCTCCTGGCATCCTTGCTAGCACTTATTCATATCTGTTTTTTTTTTTTTTTTTTTTTATAAAGTACAGATGAAATAGGAGCTCTGGTAGTGTAGTGCCTAAGACACTTGACTGCTAACCAGAAGGCTGGCGGTTCAAAACCATCAGCCACTCCTGGTAAAGTAGATGGGGCAGTCTACTTCTGTAGTGATTGATACTGCCTCGGAAACCCAAGGAGGGGTCGCTATGAGTCGGGTCCGACTCAACGGCACATAACAACAACAACACAACAACGGATGAAATGGTGTCTCACTGTGGTTTTGATTTACATTTCTCTAATGACTTATGATGTTGCACATCTTTTCATGTGGTTTTTGGCCATTTGAATGTATTCTTTGGAGAAATGTCTATTCAGATCCTTTGCCCTAATTTTTATTTATTTTATTTTCATACATGATTTTTATATTTTTCTTTTCAGTGGTTTTATATTTATTTATTTTTCCTTTTTTTTTTAAGTATCTAGCAGTGTTCCCTCCCCTCCCCTCCCACCCCTGGTAACCAACAAAGAAAGTTTCCTTCCATATATAAACCTTTCCTTGACTGTTTACAAAAATGAACTAATACAATATTTGTCTTTCTGTGATTGACTTATTTCACTCAGTATAATGTCCTCCAAGTTCATCCACATTGTGTGGTGTTTTGTAGATGCTGTATTATTCTTTCGTGTTGCATAGTATTCCACTCTGTGTATGTACCGTAATTTGGTTATGCATTCTTCTGTTGATGGGCACCTAGGTTGTTTCCATCTTTTCACTATTGTAACCAGTGCTGCGATGAACATGGGTGTGCATATATCTGTTCTTGTCCTGGCTCTCACTTCTTTAGGATATATTCCTAGTAATGGGATTGCTGGGCAAATGGTGTTTCCAATTCCAACTTTTTAGGGAATCACCATGCTGCTTTCCACAGTGGTTGTATTATTTTACAGTCCTACCAGCAGTGTATGAATGTCCTGATCTCTCCACATCCTCACCAGTGTTTGTTATTTTCTGTCTTGTTGAACTTTGTTATTAGTGTTGGAGCAAGATGGTATCTCATTGTTTTTTGATTTGTATATCTCTAATGCCTTTGCCTTAATTTTTAAATTAGGTTATTTGTCTTTTTATTGTTGGGTTGTAAGAGTTCTTATATTCTGGATGCTGCTGCTGCCTAAGGCATCTGACTGCTAACCACAAGGTTAGCAGTTTAAACTTACCAGCTGTTCCTCAGAAGGAAGATGGGGCAGTCTACTTCCATAAAGATTTACTGCTTCGGAAACCCAATGCGAGTCTTTATGAGTTGGAATTGATTCAATGGCAGTGAGTTAGGTTTTTTTTTTTTTTTTTTTTCTCCCTTATTGAGCCCTGGTGAAGCAGTAGTTAAAGTACTTGGCACTTGGCTGGTAGCCAAAAGGTTGGTGGTTTGAACCCACCAGCCTCTCCACAGGAAAGAGATATGGTAGTCTTCTGTAAAGACTTATAGCCTTGGAAACTCTACGGGACAGTTCTACTCTGGCCTTATAGGGTCGCTGTGAGTTAGAATTGATTTTATGGCAGTAGGTTAGTCCCTTATCAGATATATGATTTGCATATATTTTAATACAACATTCTTGAAATGACAAAGTTACAGAAATAGAACACAGATTAGTGGCAGATAGGGGTTAAGGATGAGAGAAGACTATGGGTAGGAAGTGACAACACTAAGGGTCCATGTGATAATAGAACTGTTCTGTATCTTGGCTGTGGTCATGCATATATGAACCTACACATGTGATCGAATTGCCTAGATCTAAATACATACACACACGCAAACACAAATTAATACAAATAAAACTGGGGATATCCAGACAGGCTCAGTGGATTGTCTCAATGGTGATATCCTGGTTGTAATAGTATACTATAGTTGTTTTATTTATTTATAATACAATTTTATTTATTTTGCAATTGTTGAGAATGTACATGGCAAAACATACACGTAATTCAGCAGTTTCTACATGTACCATTTAGTGACATTGATTACATCCTTCAATTTGTGTAACCATTCTCACACTCCTTTTTCTGAATTTTTCCTACCCCATTAGCATCAGTTTACTGCACTGTCTTCTGACGTTTGTATAGGAGCTCTGGTGGAGTAGTGCCTAAAGGATTTGACAACTAACCAGAAAGCTAGTGGTTTAAACCCACCAGCCACCGCTTGGAGGGAAGATTGGGCATCTACTTCTGTAGTGACACTGCCTTGGAAACCCAAGGAGGGGTCGCCTATGACTC